AGACAAGTCTATCACTAGTTTTATCCTATTCTTTGTTGACATTTAAGCAAAATATATGTTAAATAAAAATGTACTAATAATTCATTATCTAGGCCTCCTGAGAAGGAGGCCGAGGAACGAGGCCTCTGCTGCAAGGATGGGCATGAATTTCAGTCTACAACTAGTAGTGTACTAGGCAGACCACCCCTATGCACACGTGCTGCAGTCCACCTTCTCCTAAGATAGGCCACTGCTACAACGGGAGGGAGGGGCTAGTAGAGCAGAGGGCAGCAGTTTTGATCCTGCGAAAGATCTTGTCAGGGGGGCTTGAACGCTGCCCCGACCACTCGTACTTCTAGTTCTATGTAGGATCCTCTTCCTTTTAAGCTATTTCGACTAGAGTAAATGGTCTGTGCCCTTGTGATAAGGGCAGGCTGCGATAGCCTTTGTAGCACTCGAGCTCGCGCTAGGCTCGTATTCAGCCATTTCACGCATCACGTCAAATGTCCATAGCGCTATATTTACTTCCCAATGCAACCCGACGCATATCCGCCAAACCCAACACTTTGACCAGCGGACCCAACACATTGGCCGCATCAGACCCAATGTTTTTCCCGCACACTTGTCCTATCCGTGTCTTGTCTTGTCAGCTAGCCCCACTAGGTGCATAGTTGATTATTTCGCACATTACTCACGTTGTAGCCAGTGCTATCACATGTTTTCCCATAGTCCGCAGTGCCTCGTGTTTATTTACATGTACAGTGGCTCAAAAAAGTGTCCCAATGTTTGTAGCTTTTCATGTAATTGCTATATCATGTGTCAAGACGTGGGAATATGACTAAGCTATAGGGAGATGTCGGAAAGGTCTGCATCTCAGCTTTATTTCGGTTCCCTATACCGTGGGAAAATAATGACATTATGTGAAGATATGAGTATTTTAATTTGATGACTCATTGGGACACTTTTTTGACTTTGAGTTTTACTAATGTAATCTCTATAATTCTAGTACTGTGTGTGACCTCCTTCTGCTCCAATCACTTCTGCCACTCTTCTAAACATATTCTCTATCAATTTTGGGTATTTCTCTTTGGTGATTCCATCATACTCTGCTGTAACACTGTCTCATAGTTGGAATAGCCCCTACAGTGAATCTTGATATGCTACAAGTAATTTCTTGAGTGATTCTCAGGGGTATTCAATATGGTTGATGTCTTGGGTCTATGTTGAACATGATAGAATAGTAATATTATGGTCTTTAAGTTATTTGGTAGCCAATCTAGAAGGTTGCTCTATAAGACTTAAGATCTCTTAATCACTATATTCTAATTGGAAAGACTGCTGATGCTAATAAAGTGATTAAATTGATTATTTCCATCATTCCTATGACTATCTCTACTCAAATAGTCAGACAGACTCTCAAGACAGCCCATCTTAAAGCTATAATCAAGAAAAACAGATTTCTCTGTCTCCAACCTATAAAAATAAAAGACAAGATGCTACTTTCAAGTACAAATATTGGACTGCTAATAGCTGAAAGAGGTTTATCTAGTTAGATAAGGTTAAAATCAATAGGATGAAATCATATGGCAAGGAATTTATATTAAAATAGATAGGACAATCATTAAGATAAAGAAAAATTAAATAAACACCTTAAGTTTCAAGACAAAACTTGATGGTATAGGACTATATGAGATAAAATGGAGTGGGAATCTTCTATGAAGCAAAGGGGAGGATGAATACAGAGTAGTAAATACTCATTTGACAGGAGTGTCTGCTAAGAAGCATGCAGAAGTTATGAGTTAATGAAGAAGATACTGTTTTGTGATAAGACAATGACCCTAAGTATACCTCTAAATAAGCCACCAATAGCTTGCAAACCATGATATTACTATTCTATCATGTTCAACATAGACCAAAGACATCAACCATATTGAATACCCCTGAGAATCACTCAAGAAATTACTTGTAGCATATCAAGATTCACTGTAGGGGCTATTCCAACTATGAGACAGTGTTACAGCAGAGTATGATGGAATCACCAAAGAGAAATACCCAAAATTGATAGAGAATATGTTTAGAAGAGTGGCAGAAGTGATTGGAGCAGAAGGAGGTCACACACAGTACTAGAATTATAGAGATTACATTAGTAAAACTCAAAGTCAAAAAAGTGTCCCAATGAGTCATCAAATTAAAATACTCATATCTTCACATAATGTCATTATTTTCCCACGGTATAGGGAACCGAAATAAAGCTGAGATGCAGACCTTTCCGACATCTCCCTATAGCTTAGTCATATTCCCACGTCTTGACACATGATATAGCAATTACATGAAAAGCTACAAACATTGGGACACTTTTTTGAGCCACTGTACATCGGACCCGAAATTCTTCAGCCGCTACTTTTGCCTATAGGGTCCTGGATTTCTACGTACTTATATATATTGGTTTCCACATAGCACATTCATCATCCAAGTAGTAGGGAGCCGTTTCCTGATGCTTTGTGGTCAAACCAGATATTTCGTAGTTCTTAGTTGACATTGCATTAATCCACTTACCACTTGCTATACCTAACGTACTTTTCCTAACCCGACGCAAACCCGCTGAACCCGCACCCAAAACTCACTAACCCGCTAAACCCAAAAACATCGGCCAACACTTTGGCATCAGACTCGTAATTATACCTTCAGATTGTGTTTCTCGCGCTCAGACTTTTGACAGTTTATTGATTGACTACCAATAGACTTATTCCAATAGCAAACCCCTCAGGTCGAACACACTTGTCTAGCAAGTATAGCAGACTAAGCTGTGCAAGACCACTACAACATTTTTATATTGCTGACACTTACTTCGTATAGTATCAAGCATTGTTATATCTTTACACTGTCAATGGACTCATGACCAGACTTAAACAAATGAAGGTATAACTATAACGGGTTATATGTAACAGGAGAGTGTGATTCTTGCAGTCTAGGCCTTAAACCCTGCGACCTGAACACATATGACTGGACTATGCTACTTTCGTTGACATAGCCAGATTTGATCGAGACCATATAGGTAGCTAATGTTTAGTCATAGACTGAGATGTGTGATATAGTCACTCAAAAAAGTATTGTACCAAATTGTTTATCTGCATCTCTGCAATAACACTATATTTTCTAGTTATGTGCAACATGACATTATAGTTCAGAACCTGCTCACACTAAAAGTACAATATTGAAAATGCCACTTTCAACTACATCACCATGTTATTTTTGGTTCCAAGTCATTTCAGAAGAATACAGGGCAGCTAATTCTGAATAACTTCCATTAAGAAATAAATACAAAACTGTAGTTGAAAAGTAGCAGGCAAACCTTGTACTAATGATCTTGGTAGATCTGACAAACTGTTACATCTGATATTACTCAATAACCTGACTGTCTGATGTCTGATTTGTCTGACCATGCTGATAGTCTATATGGTCTGTGACTCTGACCTCTGTTGTGTCTGAAATAACTGATCTGCCTGTTTACCTGATGTCTGAAGTGTCTGATTAGACTGATAGGTCTGACTGACTGCATGCTGATGGTGCTGATGTGCTAATTTGTCTTTTTAGTGTCTGATATCAGAGCAGTTGTCTGAACCAGATTTTGATCTGATATAAGATTCATCAGACTGATTCAGACATCTCAGATAAATCAGGAAAAAATCTAGGTTTCCTGATGTACACTCAGAGTGTCCAGACTCCAGATTGACACACTGACTTTATTTACATGATATGGTAATCTCAACCTTACATCCAGTCATTCCATGCAGATAGGAACATTCAATCATCCACCAAATAAGTCATATGTATTCCATGATACCTGATAACCATAAAAATTATGCATATATATTATGCAATGTGGGGGCTAAAACACTAATGATTGATGAGGGAAGTGAGCATATTGAAACTGCCAAACATTGATATTCGGTGCAATTTGTGGTTGCCACAGTGGGCTTAGATTCACAATCTTATAGGCTAATCTCATAATTTGGTTAGTCAGTCACTCATGACAATTTCTGAATGATGATCTTAAGAAGAAAGGAAGAATGGGAGAATGGTTTCGGAAATGCTCAGGCACTCGCATGGTTTGCGCTTACACTGCGTAGATACACTTAGATCTAAGAAGTAAAATATGATGGTTTCAGAAACACTCAGGCGCTTTCGCATATTTTGCTTACCTCACTTAAACCTGTTTTTGGAAATATCACATGGTTTTCTCATGTGGCTTTCAAGCACCGACTCAATATCCTTTGCCCTTTAGAACAGTGCCACATTTATTCATGAAATTTGAGTGTTTTGTTACAAGTATTGTAACAACTGTATATACACAAAGTAAATAGTCAAAATAAAATGGTGAATGACAAAATGTAGTGAAAAGATAAACAAATAAAAAGGGAAAAAAGGAAAAAAGGGAAAAGACAATGAAGAGACAAAACCTGGGGAAGGGAAGAATTGGGACATGAAAGATATAAGAAAATTGGAACATTGCTGGGAGAACAAGAGAAGAGATGGGAGATGGGAAGCAGGTAAAATGGGAAAATAAATACATTTAATGATACTGTTACATATTTTGTAATTTTACTTCTGTCAAACTCCTGCTCAAAGAATGTAGAACTGACTGATCTTATGTACTATGTATGTTTACATAGATTGTACTACTTTTGGTTTTTTTTGAAATGCTGCTCATAAATGTATTTTCAAAATCCACTATCAGTGCATGATCTTATTCAGAATACACAATTTATTAGGATGAAGCCTGAGGCCAGGAAGCAAAAGGGGGGCACAGCCCTCCTTGGCTTCCTGTGATGAAGGAACAATGCTCATCAGGAGCCTTCAGAATTATTGGGATGAAGCTGAGGCCAGGAAGCTAAAAAAAAGAGCGCTTCACACTCTTGTTTGCTTCCTGTGCCGAAGGCAGAATAGGTGTGTGCTAGTACAATATTCATGGTGATATGGTCTACTTGTAATTACAAGGTCATTATACATGTGGATTAGTTCTAGAGCAGCGTTATGCATTGCATTTTGACAGCAGCAATGAATTTCCTTGTCTGGTTCTTGTAAAAACTCAATTCACCTTTCCATTTTCTACTCGTCCGCAAATTCGCCTGTCCTTCACGTATGGCAGTGAGCCTGGACTGGAACATTTTTTCAGCAGAATGAGTCCAATAACCTACATCCAGACCAGATGTAGACCACAGCGCTGGAGTAGGCCACCATGACAATATAGTGGTCTGGTCACCTCTGCCTGTGAGTGAACAAGTAAGAACAATCAAGCTAGATTTGTGAGGCGATCACATACCTGTACCGACATAATATAAGCCACATAGTGTCTCAATCTCCTCCTCGGTCAAAGTATCAAAAATATACTGGTGGGACGTATGCCGAGATGCATCAGCAAAAAACTGGACGTCTCTTGAAGGACCACTAGGTATATCACTAGCAATCTCCTGTTTGCACAAACGCCATATTATACCACCCTGGGCAGCAACAACTCTGACATGGGGGAGTCTAAGCAATTGATTTCGACGTAGCTCGTAGTTCATATACTCATATTTGTCAGGTTCCCACCCAGGGGGGCGCCAGTTTGACTGGAAGACAGTTCTTGGACGAGAAACAGGAGAATGCCAGACGTGGAGAAGGACTTTGAATTTGATTCCGCGCTCGAATAGGCAAATAATGACATCTTCAAGAGATGGTCCCCATCGTTCCCTGATGCATTGAACTACGGAGACAGGGCTATCGATGACAAGATTCCACGGACGAGAATATTTTTCAATGCATGGAATCATCAGATAGCCAGTGCAAGTCGCATCTTTGACTGGTTCAAATTTGAAATGCATGCCTGACGCAATGAGTTGCTGGATGTTATCAGGGTGTAGATCCCACATGATGGAAGGTGGATGGATGTCCTGGACAAGACAGGAAACAAAATATTGAATAGAGAATTCGTTTTTTCCGTTGCAGAAAGGGGAGGTTCATTTCCATGAGATATTTTCTGACGGTATAAGTGTCGATCATTTGAGGTTCTTCGATGGTCGTAAAGTCGTCTTGCGACTGAATTTCGGACTGCGTGTGGCAAACAAGTCCGTAACGACTGAAAAGAACATTCTCAAGTGAATCGGAGAACAGAATATCCTCGCCAACGTTCCCGCTGTAAAGGATGTTTCTTCCGATGTCGTTGTGGTTGGATGGAAGGATGGGAGGATTGCTGATGGCTGGAGCTGGAACGGGAGTGACAGCCTCCTGGATTTCGACTTCATTGAAGTCCACGGCAAGGTCGTCGCGTGTCATGGTATTTTCATGGATGACGTCTGGATCAGTTTCAAAGAGGGAACATATGTCCCAATGATTGGACACTTCGTCATACACGAAGTGCCCTCGCGATCTGCTCTCAAACTCTTTCTTTGCGTCTTCATAATCAATCTC